ACATCGTTGAAGACTACAGGAGCATCCATAGACCAGTTACTCTTCATGGACACACAGCTGGGTGCAGGTCCTGGTCTCTGGTGGGTCCTGGTCACACATAAAGAGTCAGAGTCCGTCCAACAGAGAGTCTGATAGAAACACCTCACCATCAGCCTGAGACCCTCACCTTGCATCCACAGGGGGACGGACATCTTTGAAGACTACAGGAGCATCCATAGACCAGTTACTCTTCATGGACACACAGCTGGGTGCAGGTCCAGACACCGGACCAGGTTGAGGATCAGGTCCAGGTCCTGGTCTCTGATGGGTCCTGGTCACACATGTAGAAGCAGAGTCACTGAGTCAAAGACGTTGGGACATGGAGACGAGTGGAGGACAGTTGGAGATGGTCCTCTCACCTCTGAGCTTTGGTCCTGCTGTCATGTTCCCCACACAGAGGAGCTACAGAGGGACGGACTCCGTCCTCTGGGTCCTCAGCCTGATTCATAGCAGAGTCCACAGCTTCACAGCTTCACACCAACCTGCTGGGAGAACTCACACGTTATTGAAAAAACACAAATTTCATTTCCATAAATCCTATGAAGCGAAATAGAAACACAGCAGCTGAACCAGAAGTGCACATTTTCACAGTAAAAGTCCAGGAATGGAACGTTTGTACACCAGATATTCGTCTGTGATCCAGCGTATAGCAGGGCAGCATATGAAGAAACGTTAGCTCATTGATATAAATGTATGTAGATTATTACAGATGTTTTTGTAGCCAAATTCAGTCCAAAGGTTTGGACACTTTCTCATTGAATCGAATGAGTAAACGTGTCCAAACGTTTGACTGTTCATCTCATTTAAGAACCAATCGGTGTGGTTGAGGTTTGGGCTTTGGGCCGTTTTACAACATGAATGCTTTGATGTGAACTATTCCATTGTAGCCCAGGCTGCATGTTTAGGCTCATTGTCCCATTGTCCTCTATTTGGCTCCGTCCATCTTCCCCTCATTCATTTTCTCCTGGTCCTGCTTGTCAGTTTGGGTGGACGTCTTTCTCTCAGCAGCTTTGTGGTTGTTTAATCCTTCATAGACTTGAAAGCTGAATAAGTTCTGCAGGGGTTGAGGAGCAGGGGGTGTCAGACCCAACTGCTCTGTGGAGGAAGCGAACATGTTGAGGGAAAGAGGATGTTACGCTCAGCTGGTGTGG